AGGATGTATAACAGAGGCCGTGTCGTGTGCACTGATTGTTACATTCACTAACAGTGAATACCAGGATGTATAACATCATTAACCTGTTTACCGTATGCGTCTTTCCTATTTCCCATCGGAACCAACTGAGGTTCCAAGTTCACTGTTCGGCTCCATTCAGCCGATGAATCTGCTCAACGTCTTTCAAAAAGTCCATGCCTGTATAAACACGCTCGTGACATGGCTTTTTATTAGTTGTAAAATACATCTGCGAAAAGCATTGTACGATTGTACTGGTGCTCTGTCGAGAAGAAGTGCCGCGCTCAATGATCAGTACCCGTACATTATCACCAGTGCAGTGGTTAAGTCACGAGTAAAGACTATTCTTACTTGACAATTGACTTAATGATGATAATGACATGTTCATTTTCTTTGTTAAAATATGCATCGGATAGTTTCCTTCACTATTTCATCATGTCATGTTTGTGCCTTCTATCATGCATCATGTCATGTTTGTGCGTTCTGTCATGCATCATGTCATGTTTGTGCGTTCTGTCATGCATCACGTCATGTTTGTGCGTTCTGTCATGCATCACGTTATGTTTGTGCGTTCTGTCATGCATCACGTCATGTTTGTGCGTTCTGTCATGCATCACGTCATGTTTGTGCGTTCTGTCATGCATCATGTCATGTTTGTGCGCTCTGTCATGCATCATGTCATGTTTGTGCGTTCTGTCATGCATCACGTCATGTTTGTGCGTTCTGTCATGTATCATGTCATGTTTGTGCGCTCTGTCATGCATCATGTCATGTTTGTGCGTTGTGTCATGCATCATGTCATGTTTGTGCGTTCTGTCATGCATCATGTCATGTTTGTGCGTTTTGTCATGCATCATGTCATGTTTGTGCGTTCTGTCATGCATCATGTCATGTTTGTGCGTTCTGTCATGCATCATGTCATGTTTGTGCGTTCTGTCATGCATCACGTCATGTTTGTGCGTTCTGTCATGCATCATGTCATGTTTGTGCGTTCTGTCATGCATCACGTCATGTTTGTGCGTTCTGTCATGCATCATGTCATGTTTGTGCGTTCTGTCATGTATCATGTCATGTTTGTGCGTTCTGTCATGCATCATGTTATGTTTGTGCGTTCTGTCATGCATCATGTCATGTTTGTGCGTTTTTTCATGCATCATGTCATGTTTGTGCGTTCTGCCATGCATCACGTCATGTTTGTGCGTTCTGTCATGCATCACGTCATGTTTGTGCGTTCTGTCATGTATCATGTCATGTTTGTGCGCTCTGTCATGCATCATGTCATGTTTGTGCGTTGTGTCATGCATCATGTCATGTTTGTGCGTTCTGTCATGCATCATGTCATGTTTGTGCGTTCTGTCATGCATCATGTCATGTTTTTGCGTTCTGTCATGCATCATGTCATGTTTGTGCGTTCTGTCATGCATCATGTCATGTTTGTGCGTTCTGTCATGAATCACGTCATGTTTGTGCGTTCTGTCATGCATCATGTCATGTTTGTGCGTTCTGTCATGCATCACGTCATGTTTGTGCGTTCTGTCATGCATCATGTCATGTTTGTGCGTTCTGTCATGTATCATGTCATGTTTGTGCGTTGTGTCATGCATCATGTTATGTTTGTGCGTTCTGTCATGCATCATGTCATGTTTGTGCGTTTTTTCATGCATCATGTCATGTTTGTGCGTTCTGCCATGCATCACGTCATGTTTGTGCGTTCTGTCATGCATCACGTCATGTTTGTGCGTTCTGTCATGCATCATGTCATGTTTGTGCGTTCTGTCATGTATCATGTCATGTTTGTGCGTTCTGTCATGCATCATGTTATGTTTGTGCGTTCTGTCATGCATCACGTCATGTTTGTGCGTTCTGTCATGTATCATGTCATGTTTGTGCGTTCTGTCATGTATCATGTCATGTTTGTGCGTTCTGTCATGCATCACGTCATGTTTGTGCGTTCTGTCATGTATCATGTCATGTTTGTGCGTTCTGTCATGCATCACGTCATGTTTGTGCGTTCTGTCATGCATCATGTTATGTTTGTGCGTTCTGTCATGCATCATGTCATGTTTGTGCGTTTTTTCATGCATCATGTCATGTTTGTGCGTTCTGCCATGCATCACGTCATGTTTGTGCGTTCTGTCATGCATCACGTCATGTTTGTGCGTTCTGTCATGCATCACGTCATGTTTGTGCGTTCTGTCATGCATCACGTCATGTTTGTGCGCTCTGTAATGCATCATGTCATGTTTGTGCGTTCTGTCATGCATCATGTCACGTTTGTGCGTTCTGTCATGCATCATATCATATTTGTGCGTTCTGTCATGCATCATGTCATGTTTGTGCGTTCTGTTATGCATCATGTCATGTTTGTGCGTTCTGTCATGCATCACGTCACGTTTGTTCGTTCTGTCGTGCATCACGTCATGTTTGTTCGTTCTGTCATGCATCATGTCATGTTTGTGCGTTCTGTCATGCATCATGTCATGTTTGTGCGTTCTGTCATGCATCATGTTATATTTGTGCGTTCTGTCATGTATCACGTCATGTTTGTGCGTTCTGTCATGCATCACGTCATGTTTGTGCGTTCTGTCATGCATCACGTCATGTTTGTGCGTTCTGTCATGCATCACGTCATAGTTAGGGTATTGAATAGGATTGTAGTCGGCGGATTTTATGACAAACTGACGAGAGTATTTGAAGCGGTAGATTATGTGATGTTCGACGAGGGTAGTTGAAACTGTACGTTAGGTGATGTTCAACGAGAGTATTTGAAGCTGTACATTAGGTGATGTTCGACGAGAGTATTTGAAGCTGTAGATTATGTGATGGTCGACGAGATTATTTGAAGCTGTACATTAGGTGATGTTCGACGAGAGTATTTGAAGCGGTAGGTTATGTGATATTCGACGAGAGTATTTGAAGCTGTACATTAGGTGATGTTCAACGAGAGTATTTGAAGCTGTACATTAGGTGATGTTCGACGAGAGTATTTGAAACTGTAGATTATGTGATGGTCGACGAGAGTATTTGAAGCTGTACATTAGGTGATGTTCGACGAGAGTATTTGAAGCGTAAGGTTATGTGATATTCGACGAGAGTATTTGAAGCTGTACATTAGGTGATGTTCAACGAGAGTATTTGAAGCTGTACATTAGGTGATGTTCGACGAGAGTATTTGAAGCTGTACATTAGGTGATGTTCGACGAGAGAATTTGAAGCTGTAGATTATGTGATGTTCGAAAAGAGTATTTGAAGCTGTAGGCTGAGTGGCCTAATCGTCCAGAGAGCCGCGATTCGCTGTGCAGAGTTGCGTCCCTTGGGCACGCCAGAAACCTATGCTTGTGGGTTCGATTCTCAGTTCGCTCCAATTATGTAAACATTATCTAAACCCCCCCAAACATGGGATGCAGCTGGATAATACACAGTCATAAACTGCGTACTAAATGTGTATAGAGCACTGAGGTGAATGTCGCATCAGTAAAAGTATAAGCAGCTGGAGTAACTGATAGAAAAGTCAGTAAACGTCTTACTGCATGATGAAAGTTAACGTATGGCTGTTTAAATAAATACAAAATTCAGACATAAATTCCTTTGCTTATTCCAGTTGATTAAAACGCTGACAGACTAAAGTCACAGGAAATGAGAAAGTGAGTTTCATCGTCAACAGCCTTAACATCTTGAGCTGCACAGTAATCACACAGCCTCTCTTCTCATGGTTGGGGAGGCTGAGCGTACCGACCTGTCTCTCCCGATACAGGTAAGGAGACACATCGGAATGTGGAATACATCCACCTGACCGTGTTCTTTGAAAGTCTGTCAACTATGTATAAGGTGTATGTCAAATATGTATGAGTGAGTGAGTGAGTATGGTTTTACGCCGCTTTCAGCAATATTCCTGGAATATCACGGCGGGTGCCACCAGAAATGGGCTTCACACATTGTACTCATGTGGGGAATCGAACCCGGGTCTTCGGCGTGACGAGCGAACGCTTTAACCACTTGGCTAACCCAAAATATGTATGAACAGATTAGTCAATAACCTGTGCGGCGTGTGCAACATGAAGACAGCAACTCCACTGAACCAATAGCTACTGATGACGTCGAATAATAATGCAACTGGTGAAAGATCCAAGTTAATGAGTGAGTATTGTTCAATTGTTTTGAATTGTTATATCATCGCCAAGTGTAGTATTAGCTGAACCCTACAAGGGCCCAAGCCTTAAAAGGGCCTCATGGATGGAATGAAGTCTAACATGAACTCAACATGTTCATATAGACACAGTTTACGTCATGGCTTGGTGAGCGTTGTTTACATTGTTAGTATCCCACGTCTCGAGGCAGAGCGCCAGTGTCCTGAACATGAGAGTAATAGCTTGAAGACTTGCTCTGGACACTTCCTAAACTTGCCCTGGACATTTCCGTAACTTGCCCTGGACATTTCCTAAACTTGCTCTGGACATTTCCTAAACTTGCTCTGGCCATTTCCTAAACATACTCTGAACAGTTCCTAAATTTACTCTGGACACTTCCTAAACTTTCTCTGGACACTTCCTAAACTTCCTCTGGACACTTCCTGAACTTGCTCTGGACACTTCCTAAACTTCCTCTGGACACTTCCTAAACTTCCTCTGGACATTTCCTAAACTTGCTCTGGACACTTCCTAAACTTTTTCTGGACACTTCCTAAACTTGCTCTGGACAGTTCCTAGACTTGCTCTGGACAGTTCCTAAACTTGCTCTGGACAGTTCCACAAGTGGCCGCAATTCGCTGTTAAGAGTTGCGCCGAGAGCACTATGATCCTGTGGTCGAATCCCCGCTCGCACCAATTATGTTTCTAGGTTTATCACCACTTTACCCGTGTTCGTGGGTTTCACCGAAGTGGTAAACAATAAAGACTTGCATCACTTCGGGCTTTCCTCCCGCATCAAGATGACAAGCCGCGATAAAACTGGAATACTGGTCAAAGCGGCTTTAAAGTTAACTACCTCACTCGCATATCGCGAGACACAAGGACACCAGTGTAAGATGTTCCACAGCAAGTGTACTGCACAGTCCATGCATTATTCATACTTAACTCCCGGGGAATATGAGATATTGTCTGTCTGACAGCGACCTTTATTTAAACATACAGTCAACACCACGTGGCCACACAAAAGGTGGATGTCACTTTGAGGGAACAGGTGAGATAGCTGCAGCTGACACGGAGCGAGACCGCAGTAAACAAGAGGATCCGCGCGGAGAGTGTAGCTGCACCAGTAGATAAAATGATTGATGAAGTGAGAGTGTTTGGGGCTGCAGACTATGCCGTATTCGCCCTCATGTTGGCGGTGTCTGCAGCAATCGGGGTGTTTTTTGCATTTTGGGGAAACAGACAGAAAACAACGGGAGAGTTTCTGATGGGAGGAAAAGATATGAAGACTGTGCCCGTCGCCATTTCCATCCTCGTGTCCTTCATGTCCGCCATCTTGATTCTGGGAACCCCTGCTGAGATGTATCGAGAAGGGACGCAGTACTACCTGTACACGTTTGGATTAATTGGTGCCATTGTGATATCTGCCGTGTTGTACGTCCCCCTCCTGTATCCGCTGAAGTACACAAGCTCATTTGAGGTAAAGTACTCACAGTCACGTTCATTGCAGCACGCCACTGATGACGTCAATGTTTTAATTACACAGATCTCTGAAGTTTACAAGTTCGAGGTACAATATTCCCTGCAAGACATCGAGAACCAACCAATTCAACAACAAAAACACGTGCAACAGTTTGGCTTCGGAAAATATTAATGTATACTCACTGCCAAAAGAAACGCGATACCATACATGTTGGTTAATATTTATAAAAATACTCATATTCAAATGGTATTAGATTGGTTAGATGCAGAAACAAACATACTGGTATGTTGTGTGAACCGACACTCATGCACGCATGACGTATATCATATATCCATGACTCGCTAGGGGTGCGACGACACCGAGAGTGATTGTTTTGTTAATACAAATCTCCTAGTGATATGTCGACGGAGGCCATATGGAATGTAAGGTAAGTTACTGCCTGTTGTCTACAGCGTCTACACAATGCAACATAATAATGAAAAAATATTTAAGATTTGTCTAATTTGTGAGGCGAGCGTAATTTTCGTGTAATTCATTTCGGGCTCAGAAATATTTTATTTCATTTGTCAAAAAATGCCTATAAACAAAAAACAAACCATTCACATTTTGTGATAATGTCCTCCCAGACATCTCCACATTATATCACGATGCTAGTACATCATGGATGCTTGTCTAGACCTGTCCAATCAGTGATCAGTATTATAAGCAACGTCATATAACGTCGGGGTGCTAAGGACACACACTCGATCACTCGATCTATTTGGTTGCCTCTTCTGACTTGCATTGGTTGCAGGGACGTCTCAGCGATACTTCTTGCTCCTTCTCTCAGGTGGGACCTGTTTGTGGATATCAGAAGTTGTTATCAGAAAGAAGTAGTGTCAAGTGTCCATCTATAGATACACGTCAACGTGATACAGCACGTGCAGAGCTGACTGCCATTCCCTCCCGTATCGCAAGAAACTGGGTTACAGTTTTGTAGACGCGAAGACAAACGGGTTTGTTTAAACTGTGAGAGAGTCATTGGCCATGACCTCATTGTGTCCACATCCCGTTATTGCCCCGTACAACATCGTGCAGCGTGGAATGCACGGATACACGCCTGTTACCTTAGGTGCAATTGTAGGTTCAAAACTGTGTTTTGTTTGTTTGTTGTTTAACGCCGCTCTCAGCAATATTCCATCTGTAAAATGGCGATCTGTAATTAATCGAGTCTGGGCCAGACAATCCAGTGATTGACATCATGAGCATCGATCCAGGCAATTGACATCCGATGACATGCATAAATCAAGTCAGCGAGCGTGATCACCTCTGATCCAGTTATTCACCTCTTGCTAAAGACCTATTTTACCCCGGATCTTCACGGGTAAAAAGAAAGTTACGATTGACAGAATGTAGCAGGACAGACGCCACAACCTGAAATGTTTTGTTATGGTCTGTTTCTAAGAACGCCTTTGAATGACATTGAGTGAGTGAGTGAGTGAGTGAGTGAGTTGTGTTTAACACCGCCTTTAACAGTTATATCACGGCGTGTCAGTTTAATTTGGGAGGAAAGCCCGAAGTGATGCAGGTCTCAGACGATTACCACTTCGGGGAAACCCACGATAGAAATTATTACAAAATAACACATCTGGAACTGTTTTAAAGTTAAATCTAATATATTCCAAAAAATAACATGTGACACTTACAAGCCAAAACACACATCTTGAAAAAAATCTACGTAACGGTATCCTGCTGTGTCAGCACTTTATCAGACATTCAAGACATGGATCATTCTGTGCCCGGTTCGATTCTCAACATGGCTACAATGTGTAAATCCCAATTCTGGTGTTCCTCGCCGTTATATTGCTAGAATATTGCTTAAGACGACGCGCGTGAAACCACACTCAATCACTCTCTCAGTCTGTGTTGACATCATTCCGAGTTCATAACTAAGACCTCGTCGCAAAAAGTAGAACGTTCCCACTAATGCCTAGCTGTCTGATGTCTTCTGTTACACGCCACTGGGACACTAACGTATCTTTTTTCATTCATGGATTAGTTAGATAGCTATCTCTGTTAATTTTGTAATCTGAATAATGTTTACGCAACGACTTATCCTAATATCTGATCACTAATGTCTGTGCGGAGTGAACAGTGGTGACGCTGGTGTATATGTAGACTATATATATATATATATTTGTGTGTGTGCGTGTGTGTACGTGTGTGTGTGTAGGGGGGATTTGTGTGTATGTGTGTGGCCCTTCTTACTCCTCAAAACAATAGCTCGATCAGACATGCTAGGTTTCCATGCTTTGACTCCTTGTGTCGTTATGGTTTGATGTGTAATGTTGTTAAAAGCAACACTTATGTCTCATCATTGCCTCGTTATTCTTTATTTTTCTCTCCGATTTTTTTAAGGTTTCCTATTTGCGTCTTTCAGTACCTGGAGAAGCGTTTCAACTCCCGAGCGGCGAAATTAACAGGAACGTGCATCCTTATAACGCAACAGGTAGCATCAGTGTACACTATGTCTTGTCACTTCCAACAACAAAAACTAAGGTAAAGATGCCCTATCCTACCGGTAGCACCAGTGTCCTCTATGTGTGGTCACTTCCAACAAAAACTAAGGTAAAGATGCCCCATCCTACCGGTAGCACCAGTGTCCTCTATGTCTTGTCTTTTCCAACAAAAACTAAAGTAAAGATGCCCTATCCTACCGGTAGCACCAGTGTCCTCTATGTGTGGTCACTTCCAACAAAAACTAAGGTAAAGATGCCCTATCCTACCGGTAGTACCAGTGTCCTCTATGTGTGGTCACTTCCAACAAACACTAAGGTAAAGATGCCCTTTCCTACCGGTTGCACCAGTGTCCTCTATGTGTGTTCACTTCCAACAAAAACTAAGGTAAAGATGCCCTATCCTACCGGTATCACCAATGTCCTCTATGTCTGGTCACTTCCAACAAAAACTAAGGTAAAGATGCCCTATCCTACTGGTAGCATCAGTGTCCTCTATGTCTTCTTTTTTCCAAAAAAAACTAAGGTAAAGATGCCCTATCCTACCGGTAGCACCTGTGTCCTCTATGTCTGGTCTTTTCCAACAAAAACTAAGGTACAGATGCCTTATCCTACCGGTAGCACCAGTGTCCTCTATGTCTGGTCACTTCCAACAAAAACTAAGGTAAAGATGCCCTATCCTACCGGTAGCACCAGTGTCCTCTATGTCTTGTCACCTCCAACAAAAACTAAGGTAAAGATGCCCTATCCTACCGGTAGCACCAGTGTCCTCTATGTGTGGTCTCTTCCAACAAAAACTAAGGTAAAGATGCCCTATCCTACCGGTAGCAGCAGTGCCCTCTATGTCTGGTCACTTCCAACAAAAACTAATGTAAAGATGCCCTATCCTACCGGTAGCACCAGTGTCCTCTATGTGTGGTCACTTCCAACAAAAACTAAGGTAAAGATGCCCCATCCTACCGGTAGCACCAGTGTCCTCTATGTCTTGTCTTTTCCAACAAAAACTAAAGTAAAGATGCCCAATCCTACCGGTAGCACCAGTGTCCTCTATGTGTGGTCACTTCCAACAAAAACTAAGGTAAAGATGCCCTATCCTACTGGTAGCAGCAGTGCCCTCTATGTCTGGTCACTTCCAACAAAAACTAATGTAAAGATGCCCTATCCTACCGGTAGCACCAGTGTCCTCTATGTGTGGTCACTTCCAACAAAAACTAAGGTAAAGATGCCCTATCCTACCGGTAGCACCAGTGTCCTCTATGTGTGGTCACTTCCAACAAACACTAAGGTAAAGATGCCCTTTCCTACCGGTAGCACCAGTGTCCTCTATGTGTGTTCACTTCCAACAAAAACTAAGGTAAAGATGCCCTATCCTACCGGTATCACCAGTGTCCTCTATGTGTGGTCACTTCCAACAAAAACTAAGGTAAAGATGCCCCATCCTACCGGTAGCACCAGTGTCCTCTATGTCTTGTCTTTTCCAACAAAAACTAAAGTAAAGATGCCCAATCCTACCGGTAGCATCAGTGTCCTCTATGTGTGGTCACTTCCAACAAAAACTAAGGTAAAGATGCCCTATCCTACCGGTAGCACCAGTGTCCTCTATGTGTGGTCACTTCCAACAAAAACTAAGGTAAAGATGCCCTATCCTACTGGTAGCACCAGTGTCCTCTATGTGTGGTCACTTCCAACAAAAACTAAGGTAAAGATGCCCCATCCTACCGGTAGCACCAGTGTCCTCTATGTCTTGTCTTTTCCAACAAAAACTAAGGTAAAGATGCCCTATCCTACCGGTATCTCCAGTGTCCTCTATGTCTTGTCACTTCCAACAAAAACTAAGGTAAAGATGCCCTATCCTACTGGTAGCACCAGTGTCCTCTATGTGTGGTCACTTGCAACAAAACCTAAGGTACAGATGCCCTCTCCTACCGGTAGCACCAATGTCCTCTATGTGTGGTCACTTCCAACAAGAAAAACTAAGGTAAAGATGCCCTATCCTACCGGTAGCACCAGTGTCCTCTATGTGTGGTCACTTCCAACAAAAACTAAGGTAAAGATGCCCTATCCTACCGGTAGCACCAGTGTCCTCTATGTGTGGTCACTTCCAACAAAAACTAAGGTAAAGATGCCCTATCCTACTGGTAGCACCAGTGTCCTCTATGTGTGGTCACTTCCAACAAACACTAAGGTAAAGATGCCCTATCCTTCCGGTAGCACCAGTGTCCTCTATGTGTGGTCACTTCCAACAAAAACTAAGGTAAAGATGTCCTATCCTACTGGTAGCACCAGTGTCCTCTATGTGTGGTCACTTCCAACAAAAACTAAGGTAAAGATGCCCCATCCTACCGGTAGCACCAGTGTCCTCTATGTCTTGTCTTTTCCAACAAAAACTAAAGTAAAGATGCCCTATCCTACCGGTAGCACCAGTGTCCTCTATGTGTGGTCACTTCCAACAAAAACTAAGGTAAAGATGCCCTATCCTACCGGTAGCACCAGTGTCCTCTATGTGTGGTCACTTCCAACAAAAACTAAGGTAAAGATGCCCTATCCTACCGGTAGCACCAGTGTCCTCTATGTGTGGTCACTTCCAACAAAAACTAAAGTAAAGATGCCCTATCCTACTGGTAGCACCAGTGTCCTCTATGTGTGGTCACTTCCAACAAAAACTAAGGTAAAGATGCCCTATCCTACCGGTAGCACCAGTGTCCTCTATGTGTGGTCACTTCCAACAAAAACTAAAGTAAAGATGCCCTATCCTACCGGTAGCATCAGTGTCCTCTATGTGTGGTCACTTCCATCAACAAAAACTAAGGTAAAGATGCCCTGTCATACCGGTAGCAGCAGTGTCCTCTATGTGTGGTCACTTCCAACAAAAACTAAGGTAAAGATGACCTATCCTACCGGTAGCACCAGTGTCCTCTATGTGTGGTCACTTCCAACAAAAACTAAAGTAAAGATGCCCCATCCTACCGGTAGCACCAGTGTCCTCTATGTGTGGTCACTTCCAACAAAAACTAAAGTAAAGATGCCCTATCCTACCGGTAGCACCAGTGTCCTCTATGTGTGGTCACTTCCATCAACAAAAACTAAGGTAAAGATGCCCTATCCTACCGGTAGCACCAGTGTCCTCTATGTGTGGTCACTTCCAACAAAAACTAAGGTAAAGATGCCCTATCCTACTGGTAGCACCAGTGTCCTCTATGTGTGGTCACTTCCAACAAAAACTAAGGTAAAGATGCCCCATCCTACCGGTAGCACCAGTGTCCTCTATGTCTTGTCTTTTCCAACAAAAACTAAGGTAAAGATGCCTTATCCTACCGGTAGCACCAGTGTCCTCTATGTGTGGTCACTTCCAACAAAACTAAGGTAAAGATGCCCTATCCTACCGGTAGCACCAGTGTCCTCTATGTGTGGTCACTTCCAACAAAAACTAAGGTAAAGATGCCCTAACCTACTGGTAGCACCAGTGTCCTCTATGTGTGGTCACTTCCAACAAAAACTAAGGTAAAGATGCCCTATCCTTCCGGTAGCACCAGTGCCCTCTATGTGTGGTCACTTCCAACAAAAACTAAGGTAAAGATGCCCTATCCTACCGGTAGCACCAGTGTCCTCTATGTGTGGTCACTTCCAACAAAAACTAAGGTAAAGATGCCCCATCCTACCGGTAGCACCAGTGTCCTCTATGTCTTGTCTTTTCCAACAAAAACTAAGGTAAAGATGCCCTATCCTACCGGTACCACCAGTGTCCTCTATGTGTGGTCACTTCCAACAAAAACTAAGGTAAAGATGCCCTATCCTACCGGTAGCACCAGTGTCCTCTATGTGTGGTCACTTCCAACAAAAACTAAAGTAAAGATGCCCTATCCTACCGGTAGCACCAGTGTCCTCTATGTGTGGTCACTTCCAACAAAAACTAAAGTAAAGATGCCCTATCCTACCGGTAGCACCAGTGTCCTCTATGTGTGGTCACTTCCATCAACAAAAACTAAGGTAAAGATGCCCTATCCTACCGGTAGCACCAGTGTCCTCTATGTGTGGTCACTTCCAACAAAAACTAAGGTAAAGATGCCCTATCCTACTGGTAGCACCAGTGTCCTCTATGTGTGGTCACTTCCAACAAAAACTAAGGTAAAGATGCCCCATCCTACCGGTAGCACCAGTGTCCTCTATGTCTTGTCTTTTCCAACAAAAACTAAGGTAAAGATGCCTTATCCTACCGGTAGCACCAGTGTCCTCTATGTGTGGTCACTTCCAACAAAACTAAGGTAAAGATGCCCTATCCTACCGGTAGCACCAGTGTCCTCTATGTGTGGTCACTTCCAACAAAAACTAAGGTAAAGATGCCCTAACCTACTGGTAGCACCAGTGTCCTCTATGTGTGGTCACTTCCAACAAAAACTAAGGTAAAGATGCCCTATCCTTCCGGTAGCACCAGTGCCCTCTATGTGTGGTCACTTCCAACAAAAACTAAGGTAAAGATGCCCTATCCTACCGGTAGCACCAGTGTCCTCTATGTGTGGTCACTTCCAACAAAAACTAAGGTAAAGATGCCCCATCCTACCGGTAGCACCAGAATCCTCTATGTCTTGTCTTTTCCAACAAAAACTAAGGTAAAGATGCCCTATCCTACCGGTACCACCAGTGTCCTCTATGTGTGGTCACTTCCAACAAAAACTAAGGTAAAGATGCCCTATCCTACCGGTAGCACCAGTGTCCTCTATGTGTGGTCACTTCCAACAAAAACTAAGGTAAAGATGCCCTATCCTACCGGTAGCACCAGTGTCCTCTATGTGTGGTCACTTCCAACAAAAACTAAAGTAAAGATGCCCTATCCTACCGGTAGCACCAGTGTCCTCTATGTGTGGTCACTTCCATCAACAAAAACTAAGGTAAAGATCCCCTATCCTACCGGAAGCACCAGTGTCCTCTATGTGTGGTCACTTCCAACAAAAACTAAAGTAAAGATGCCCTATCCTACCGGTAGCACCAGTGTCCT